CCTGAAAGGCATTCTTCGAAAAGCAAAAGTTGACATTTCTTGTTTATATATTGACAGAATACTAAAAATAGGATTTTACTATATTTAAACTTCATACCTCTACACCTTCATAACATCACCAGCAGCGTAACCACAGAGCAACTAGCAATTCTCAAAATGATAGAAACGACAAGCTTTATTTCAACAGAATGATGTAAAATTTTCAAACAGAAGCTCAATAAAACTGAAGTCCTTATACTTGTACATAATGCTAGAAAATTAAAAATCTTCAACAGAGTGTGTGCTCTACATAAAAGCTATTATAAAACGCACGGAACACTGGAAAGAAATAGAATTTGTAACAACACTGCAGTGCAAATAGGACAAGTAGACAAAAACACAGAATATCAGACCACAACACAAGATTTTGCATTACAACTAATTGGATATGTGCTCTTAGATGCAAAAGAAAAGGTCAGAAAATACTCCTCGAGAGGGATAGAAAACGAACAATCGGCGTATTCTGATCAAAGTACAAGTTTCAACCCTGCAAATCCAAGAATGGGTAAAATTTATCTACAAGCCATGCATGCAAACCAATGAGAATTAAATGCAAGAGAAATATGCATACATATTGCACAATACTTATGTATTTACATATGGAACATGCGAAGCTTCATATCTACACTTCTTACACCTTGGTGTAAGAAACCTATGCTTTCTGTAATATCGCATTTTCTGTAATATCCAACATCTCAAATCTTTCGTGAACATAACCTAATTCTTCATTTTCTAATTCATCCTGAAGAATTTCATCACTCTCTTGAAATTGTTCTTTCTCTTCAAAATATTCTTTGAAATGTTCTTTCAATAGATGCTCACTAATTTCCATACAAAAACATTCATTATCTCTTTCAACAGTAGGGTATTTCATAGATTTTGCAATGTAAAAGTCACTTCTTGATCGTTAACTCTCATCGTTAATTCTCCTTTTTGAACATCTATCATAGGTTTTCCAGTAGCTAAAAATGGTCTCCCTAAAATGATAGGTATTTCTTTATCTTCCTCCATATCTAAAACAATGAAATCCATAAGTCACAAAACAATGAAATCCACAAGAAAGAAAAAACTATTAACTTTTACTAACACAACTTCTATAAATCCATTAGAAGAAGTAACTGAACGATCTGCTAACCGAAGAGTTACAGAAGTAGGTGAGACTTCTCCTAATCCTAATCTTTTGAAAATTGATAGAGGCATAATATTAATGTTGGCTCCCAAATCACATAAATCACATAAAAAGCTCTTCCATAAAATTTTTCACCGATAGCACACGGTATAGTGAAACTGCCTAGATCTTTTAATTTTTCAGGAAGCTTTTTCTGAAGAATTGCACTACACTCTTCGCCAAGTGCAAAAGTTTCGTTATCCGTGAACTTCCTTTTCTAGTTTAGAATATCTTTCATAAATTTCACATAATTGGGCATTTGCTCTAAAGCTTCTAAGAAGGGAATGTTTACCGTTAACTTCTTAAGAATTTCTTAAAATTTGGAAAATTGTTTATTCTGTTTGTGTTGCTTCAATCTTTGAGGAAATGGCGGTGGAGGTTTCTCCACAGTAATCTTCATTGATGTAAATGGATACTCTAAATCTGGGTACTCATGATCCTTTTCTTTTTCGGTATCCATTTTCTCTTTTTCATTTTTTTCTTCTTTTTGTGCCCTTGTCTCCAATTCTTTTCCACTTCGTAATTATATCGCTTTTATCTGTTCTTTTCCTTGATCTTTAGGATTTGGTTCCACAGTGTACTAGGAAAAGTTCCTAATGTTCGGTTACTAAGCGCAGTAGCGATATGCCCTAATTGGTTTTCAATATTCTTAATAGCAGTTCCTTGATTTTGTAATTGATTTCCTTGAATTTGTAATTGATTTCCTTGATTATGCAATTGTTGAACTATATTTAATATCAGCTCTTCCATAGACAATTTCTTCTTCTTAATTTGAGTGTTACTGTTAAATCATGGGGGATAAGAAGGTCTATGGTTTACATTTTCTTTGTTGGATGAATTTCCTAATGGCTTTACTTGGATGTTTGCCCATTGTTGATTTGTAGAAGAATTGTTATTCCAATTAAAATTTGGATGATTCTTCCAACCTGGTTTATAATAGTTCGAATAAAAGTTGTTGGGTCTATTAATAGCATTTAAAGTCTCATATGAAGGTTGAACATCCACAAATTTCCCAGATGAATTCTCTTCCATCATAGGAGGTGTTGGAGAATAATTCATCCCATAATGAGCTAATTTCTTTGATATTGCAGTAATCTGCAAAGCTAACATAGATATCGCATCAGAATCATGGATACTAGCTATTCTTTTAGGATTTACCCATTCGAAGGGCCATTGAAAATTGTTGGTAGCCATCTCTTCTATTAATGAATAAGCCTCATCAAAAGGTTTTGACATTAATAAACCACCAGC